ATATATATAATTAGACTACCCTACTACAATGTGAACTTTTCCTGTAAAGCATATTTAGACCAAAATATCAGGCTTTTCACTTTTAATGGATGTGCATTTAACATGTGGGCGCGTGCGTAGATAGCTCAATACCACATAAGCCACTCACACTTACATCATCGCTGACAACTAACATAAATGCAATGAACAACAACAAACTTACATGWTGCTTACATATTTCCCCTTAATAAAGACCACTTAACAACTGAATAATACTGTTATGTGCTTGTAAGATATAAAAATTAAATATGTCATCTTATTAATCAACTTAAGTAACATAATCATTGTTAGATAATGCTGATAAGGAATTACATTAACATAAAATATAATCCAATAAAATAAGAAGCATATTGTATTATTGTAGCACTCATTAACGACCGGTGTGGGAAAAATACTCGCACACAAGAGATACCTATAGTGCATTAAACCTACATTGAAGTAACATTATATTAAAAAGATCTATTTACACGTCTACGCGGTATGGGACATCGTATGTCTGGTTGTTCTCCTTGATTTTTGTAAGTAATATAATTTTCGGAACATATTAGTACACCACCTGGACCATCTTTATCACCAGGAACAGTGATAAGTGAATTAGCATGTTCTTCTAAAGGTTCGCTATATTTACGAACTACGTGATTTAAACCAAAATCAACTTCATAAAATGTAAGAGTTTGTCTCGTAGTTTGAACAGCTTCTCCAGTTGGATCTGCATCCACTTCCTATTAACATAATTAAAATTAAATTATTTATATTTTATTTATTTATTATTAAATTATAAACTTAAGTCAAATCTTATTTTTGTGAGTTATGGAATAAATTTTGTTTTYTTGAACCACAATTTTGAATATTTCAAACTTTAAAGGACAGACTTTAGATTGCAATTGTATTTAGGTATCAATACTAAAAACGATGGTTTAAGTTAGAACTGAAAATTAATACATTAATACAGGTTTTTTATAACAAACCAAGGAATATATGGATTTAAACTATCTAAGCAACCATAACTGAATAAATATGATATTGTTTTTAGCAAACAAATTCTCTCCAAAAGTGTGTTAAAAACTATGGTTTTAATTATAAACATTTTATTTTTAATTACCTCATAGTCAATTTCAAGGCATGCAAAAATTGGATTGTCAAAAGCCACATCTATTCCAACCATGTGGTAAACAAGTGTATTGCTTTTATTAGCTTCCAAAGGAGATGAAATTGTAAGCCGTGCTTCAGCATCTCTGTTAGGAATATACACTAACTTTTGTTTTTCTACCGCACCTAGAATAATGTTTGATAATTAGTAATAAATATTTAATTTATTATATGCATTTAAGATATACCAATCATTATAGCTCTTCCTTTAGGATCAATGGCCAAATACTGTCCAGGAACAATTCGCCTACATCCACTCTTTCCAAAAGTTTCTTGATGCACTTTATCCAAGACATTTTTTGAAGGTAGATATTCCAGTATAACAATTCTTCCAGAATCAGAWCCAACAACTATGTAATCTAAAGTTTAATTTAAACACACAAAACCAAATTAAAATAAGTACTTTAATCAAATTTTAATTCAAACAGTAATAAAATTGAARAATATTCTATAATCTACTACATATTTATTGTGTTAGGGAATAACATGGTGTATCAAACACTATTGTTATTCTGCTTTATTGGTTTGCTTGCTCTTAAGGTTACCAAATAATTTAATTGACAAAAYATGCCATGTCATATTGGCTGGTCCACATAAAATTTAAAAAATAAGCAATAACTGAAATTTACCATCACAGGCAGGACCAAAACATTATCAAAATTTTTTTTTTAATTATACACTGATTTGTTTAAATTTTTTGTGGTCTCTTCGTGGACACGGTATTATAGTAAATGTTTGAATATTGCAAAAAATATATGAAGATAAAAATGAAAAAGGTTAAATATATTCAAACGAAAAAAATTATATTATTTTAAGGAAGGTAATAAAAACATAAATAAACAAGATTTTACCTTTAGTACCACCAGACTGCCTAAAACTCATCAAAGCACGAATAATTCCAAATACTTCTACGGTTAACAATGTGTGGACTTTGCCAGTATTTGGATCAGGTCTCATAAGCTCTAAAGATTTGCCTCGAGAGACTAAAATTTCTTGTAATTTTCCTCCACTAAAATTTCCATGGATAGCGTGCGTAATGCCGCTACCCCGTTGCAATGTCATATTATACAAATACATGATTGCGTATTTTTATGATTGGTTAATCTAAAATAAAATAAAATAAAGATAATGTTACACATGGCAAAATATAAGGTACCTAGTATGATTTTAAAAATATTATTTTATATAATACCAACATTAATAGGTATCAGAGCATCAGGTTTATCTTATTACACCACCGAAATAATGCTATCTATAAGTTTAAAAATAAATAAATGGGGAAGTAGGTACCTACTCAGTTACTACGAAACGAAAAAACTATAATATGCGAAAAGCAGAAAAATCAAGTTAATGATCGTCTCGCTAGACTTAGCCGATTTTATGAATTTATGATACACGTACCGCGTCGTCACTCGTCAGTCGTCACGCGCATATCAACTATMRAGGKMAGCGCATGCTGGCGTGCACACTGHACAACTTGAGCTGTTTGGCGGGGCGCCGGTGCTCGAAAGTCGAAACAGAAGCGACGTTAATAAATTGTAAAAACGATGTTTTAACCTCAAAAAATAGGCATTCAACATTTTGCTTCCTAAAGTTATGGGCTTATGGACGGRGGGGGGGGGGACCGGAAAGGAATATAAAATTTTAACTAAAACCCACTAACCAAACGTTAAACACGACGTCTTGTCTAGCGGAAATCAGCAATTATAATACGGTCAACGGTCAWGCGGCTTCGCCTAAATATTAAGYATTAACTTGTACGTTACCTGCCAACGACAGTGGTGCTTGGCTACTGTTCGACTGTTCCGTTCACACAGCAAACACACTACGACGAACGAATGACATTAGTTTTTGGTAGCATAGCCGATAGCGTGTCTGGCGAATACCGGACGGACAACCAGAAAGGAGGTATCAATCGACCAAAACGGCGATTCCCAGGATATTTTAACTCGTTCAAGAATTCACAACACGAAACGGCCGTCTGCCGGCGTATACGAACCATGTATTGTACTACTCGATGATAACCAAATACTTCTATAGATTTGTACAAAGTAGAACTAACGATGCATAACAGTTTTAACAAATAACGACGAATGAGAACTTGTGAAGTTGTGACTAGAGAACAAATTAAGAAGTAGCTATATAAAGCATAGACGTTCAGCATAAGCCGGACGGACAGTCGGACAATGCAGAGAAGACATTACGGGCATTACCATTTGGCGTTTACCAAATATTACCACTTTACCAGTTACCACGGTACATCACCGCGTTAACCAAATYGTAGGGTTTGATGGTGGAAGGGTGGTTCATATTGTGRCAGTTATGCCACGTTCGACATAAATTAATTTTTCTTTCGTTTTGTTCATACTGTGTTACTCTCTTTCCCGCGTATTTTCGAATATTTGAAATCTTCCATACTGYATTTTACGAGGGACACATACAAATTTGAAAAATTATTAATATGAAACCGTATTATAATTTATATTGGATCTAAACCTCCATCGGAAATACATATTGTGCAAACTGTATTTTTATTGACTGCTAATATGCTATTTCTTTGGAACCGTAATCTTTGAAAAATATTTTTTCTGCATTTTTTTTTATCTAGTTSAACTATAAGTTAGAAAAGAGAAATAAGTGTATAGCACACGGTGCTTGGTAGATTAAATAAACAATAGTCGCTACTTATTAACTACTAGGCGAGTAAGTAATATAGTTTATTTAAGATGTTATCGTATATTCGTATTCAAACCACTGACAAGTGGAACACTGCAGACACTATTGACACAAATGTTATAATACCTACGTGTCTTACAGGTGTTGCTCGTAGTACAAGCTACTATATAATAAATATAGGTAAAATATACCGATATTTAACTCATGTAAAACTATATACACTACTATAATTTCAAACCAATATTGGTTTTTTCTATCAAGTCAAAGCCCCTCGTGAAACGTGAATACAAATGCATTATTCACGAAAAATATTATTTTTTATTTTAGGGAATACGAATATCTAAAATATTTTATATTTTATTATTATTTGTCTTAATATTTTTATACATTTAAAATTTAAATGGATGTTAATTTTTTTTTTATTTTGAGGCACTATTTAGACAAATCGATTTCTTGGATTTATTAGCAACAACAATAACAGATAGTTTCAAGTACTTATAGGGTCCGTATTACAAAAGAATGGTGATTTTGATGAAGATGTTATGTAGAGGATGAAGTGTAGATGGATGAAGTGTGGAGAAGCATCAGATTTTATGGCTTTATGCAATAAAAGAATTCCAATCAGGTTAAAAGAAAAATTGTATWAGACAGTAGTAAGGCCGACGATGATAATGTATGGAACGGAATGTTGAGCTATAGATAATACAATTGAAAGAATAATAAGTATTGCGGAGATGAGAATGGATGATTGGAGTGACGAGAGAGGACAGAATAAGAAATTAGTAGGTACATAAGAGCTAGGTAGTATAGGATAGGCTTGCCATTCATCCCAGTATGACTACCGTAACAGTCTGGATTTTTACAGCATGTCTAGGTGTCCCAGCAGGTCATTAATTTTGTCCCGGTTTATGGAAGACAAGAGAAAATAACTTTAATATTATTTTGTTTAATAATAAAACATGGAATAATATTATACATAGCATTTGGGTTTAATTTGTAATGAATTTTATTTAAAAATTAAAAGTAATACAGATGTATTKAAAACAATTCATTCAACCGAAAAGTATGAACATTGGGTTATTACTAACAATTAATAAATGTAAATGCAGTAAATGTAGTTTATGTAAAAAATTGTGTTGGTTGAAACATTTTTCAAWTAAATATGGGATATTATTAATTCTCGTATAATTATTTTTATATTTTGGTTTTTAATATTTTTATTTGTATTAGCTTCTATATTATTAAACTATGATAGCTCAACAATATTACAATTGAACATGATAATAAACAAATTATACGAAAAAAAAATGGTTATTCAATATGATGTCCTGGTTTGGTGTTTTTAAAATCTGGCAACCCTAGACAGTATAGGAGTGGCTCCAAAAGTTGATGAATTGTGTGAGAATAGGTTGAGATGGCTAGGAGGCTAGGACACGTTTTAAGCAGAGAAAAAACTGAGGTAATTTCAGTGACAATAAGAAATATGAGTGCGGATGGAAAAGGAGAAATAGAGGAAGACCGAAAAAGAGATGGTTTGAAGTTATAGAGCAGCGGTCGGCAACTTTACTGGCGGACCGCGGTCCGAATCCGGACCGTGCAGGAACGCAGAAAGCCTCCGGACCGTTGACATGTCTTAACATTTTTTCTTCATATTGCTATTATAAAAACATAAAGATTTGGCAAACATTTGTTTCACTGAACCTCATTTATTTATTATTTTAATCTTTGGGACTCCAATGGAAATTACTTGCCGACCCCTGTTATAGAGTGTAATAGGAGAATCATAGAATGACTGGTGTTTGTAAAGAGGATGCTAAGGATCGTAGTAAATGGAAATTGAGGGCTAGCTGGGTGGCCAACCCCAAATAGTTGGGAGAGAAGGCGATGAAAAAGAAGATAAGCAAACAGCAACAATACAACCCTAATTACATTTAGTTAATTTTTTTTACAAATGTTTGTTTTCAAACAATGCTAGTGAGATTTGGGCTGATGTAAAATAGAAAAAAAACATTATAAAAGTATGGAATAGAATTTTCATTTTAAAAGATTCTAAAAACTCTTAAAAATAAGACTATTAGTAAATTATATTAACTTAACTAGTGCTTTTTTKAAGCTAKGTACCTACTAAGATTTTTATAACGGTTAGTAATTAATATTAGTATTTTGAGATTGGCATATCTCACATGCTTTATTAATACAACTTCTAAATCCAACAGATTAAAATTTGTTATAATTATTTTTCTTTCGTTTTTATATCTAGTATTAATATCTATGCTCACAAGTACGAATATAATTTTTATTTTCGTACGCTAAAGTACATTATTTTAAAAAGCCTAGCTAAGTTATGTTAAATTCTGTGTAAACTATATAAAATAGGTCTAAACACTGTAAAGTACTAAAAAAATTTGACAGGCGGCAGCCTTAGTAGGTATATATTTAAATTTAATAATGTTGTCCATAGTGGTTTTTAACTATTAATCTAAAGAGATGAAATCAAAATTACCATATTTCAAATCTCTATACACAAAAGTAATAAATAACTGATTATAAAACTCTGATAAGTATATTACACTTGGATTTTATAGGTATGTCAAATAAATTTCTAATGTTTCTATACATACAAAAATGCTGTCTTATAAAACGATCATACTAGTCCCCGGACATTTTTCTAAGGGTGGTGGGAGGAGAAGAGTAAAATTAATTAAAGAAATAAATGAAGATTTTTTTCATTAATTTTATGCTTACATTTTAAAAGTAATCTATGTTTGCTAAATTGGCACTTTACAGATAATGCTTTAAAAACAAATTTAAAATTGTAAAGGGCAAGTGCCCCGTTTTGGGCCCAATGCCCATGTAAATTATATCACATAATATTGTATAATTTTTAATTATTAATATATAGTAAGTATTATTATTTTTTTAGTCATAGATGTATAAGGTTTTAAATTATTATTCTTATCTCGTTATTTATTTTAAAGTAGAGGATGTTTTAGATAACACCATGTGTGTAGACTTTGTTTAACATAATGCCCAATATTTTTTCCTCAATGGGCCACTTTGGTAAACAATTATCACCTAGTGGAGTAGCGGGCCACCAAATATAAAAGTTACACGTAAATAGGGTTCAACATGTACATAAAACATTAATCATTAATTATAATGTTCTATTAAATAAATTTTAATACTTGAAAAATAATAAAAGACAACTATGAAAAAAAAAAATTATTCAGCAAATCCCAACAGTTAATTTATTTTTATAAAAATAATTATTATAATTTTAAATATATTTAACATTTTCAATCTAAATATTAATAAGTATTAATTTGAATACCCTAATATTATGATTGATTTTAGTGATAAGGATATTAACATTCATAATCAAAAATTAAAATCATACAAACTTTATTTTACAAGGTAAACTATATTTTTCAATATTTTAAAAATGGTATGTAGGAAGATTTAATGTGTGCCTATGTAGTTCAAGACACCATTGATAGTAAATACTATTTTAAAATTAATATGATTCAGAAAAACAGAAACAGGTATAATTATTCAACAAATTTTATTCATTTTTGAACTTCATTGATACAGCAGTAAGTTTATTAAAGTTGGTTCTAGAAAATTATTAATTTTATAGACATTGAAAATATAACAAAAACTTAATATTATTGTGAATTCATCATATTATTTAAGATAAAAATATAAAATTGTACATTAGAACCATTCACTTTAAAGGTATTATGAAATTGTTGCATTTCATTTGTTTTATAGGATTATTACAAACAAAATAAACCAGTTATTATACTTTTTAAGTCTGTTATAGCTTGTACGTATAACATAACAATAAAAAAGTAATTGACAAACTAATAATACAATTTAAATGGGAAAAATCATTATTGACAATATTTTATTTTTAAAAATTTAAAGTAGTCTGGCCTCTTGCTCTTCCTCTAGCTCTGGTAGTAGCTCTAGGTGCTCTGCTTCCACGACCTCTTTTCCCTCGGCTATTTTGAACACCTGTACTTGCAGGAGTATTATTACTAATTTCTTCGTCATCTGATTTTACAGGAGAAATATTTGAATCATTGTCAGAATCATTTTGAGTTGTATATTGCTGGGAAATCAATACTTCACGAACCTTAAATTAAAATAGYATTAAATTATCCATACTAATTCATTAATATTTATTAATAAATTAATATCATACATCATTAGCTTCATCTTTTGATTTTTGCGTGCGAGAATTATGAAAACTAATAATGTGTTCTGAAATGTTATGCTCATTAAGACCTTCTTGTTTTATAACATGATTCTTCATTTTTTTCTTTTGATGTCTAACAACAATATGGTTTTATTAAAATATTAGTAAATATTATCCTTCTTCACTATAATTCTTTTAATACTTACTCAACAACTTTATTTATTGCATCAGGACGTGATTTATTTACAAGCCAATCAACCGCTTCAGCCATACCATCTACAGATAATAATTCCAGTTGATTTTCTTCATTAGCAGTTCTAAAATATTGATCAACAATATGTTCAATTTTCTCCATCTAAAATAAAATAATTATAAATATTAAAGTAAATTAAATTGGATTGGTTTTCTATTAGGTCTGTATAAGATTAATACTTCTTCGTCATCCATAATATTTGAAAGAACTTGATCATCAATGAACTTAGCTTTTTTTTGAACACTTTTCTTTTCAATTCTTAATAATATCATATCATTAGAATTAGCAACACGGTCTTGAAATTCCTGACCAAACTGAATACTATTAAAATGTTGAGTTTCATTAGTATATTCAACTCTGAGACGTATTAATGGTAATTTTGGTTGTTTAGGGTGACCTAAGCAAAATGATTAAATTATTATGGTTAATACGTCTTTTTAAATGAGTAAATTTCAGTTCATTAAAAAAGACATATGTTAATTCCAATTTTGAATATAATATTTAAGGTATAAATTTTATTTAAGTTACATATATCAAATTAAAAAAAAATATAAATAAGTTCTCATACATTATGAGGGTTTCCTCCAAATCAATCTCCTGACACATAACTTTCCAATTTTGTAAATTGTATTAATGTAAATATATATTTTTAATAAAATAACATTAGGCAATGGCTGATAGTGAAATTCAACAGTTATATTAAACAATAGAGGAAAATTCATATGATAAGAAGATAAATTTTGAAAGATTGATATAGACTGGTGGTGGGTTTATAATATTATAATCATAGATAATCTTTATTATCTATGTTTATAATGCATAAATAACAATCAGTGGCGCCGATCCTATATACTGGTGGGGCGACTGTTCCTCCATTGAGTGGGTGGGTGGGTCGTAAGTGGTTAGAGTGGTTGTTGATGGGGGTAGAATACGATTGTAATGTGTAAAAATAATTCATATAAGGAGAAATAAAATATAAATATTCCTGAATATCAAAAACCCATGAAAATATGCGATTATGTCATCTCTGGGTGGGGCGAGTATTAATTTTTGTACTTGGTACTATCTTTAAAAATTGAATTTGTCGCCACTAGTAACAATATTAGTATTTAACAATTAAATATAAATTAATTATTAAAAAAATTAAAAGTATTTCAAACTTACCGCTATATTTTAGATTTAATCTCAATAATATATCCTCAATTTGCCTTCTAACAAATTCCTGAGTTTTCTTTGAAGTACTAACATCTTCATCACATTCTGACAGTCGTATTGTTTCAAAGTGCATAAGCCTAACAGTTTTCAGTTCCAGTGGTTCCATTTTGAAATGTTTACCGCTGATAGTTAACAATCCAACATATTTGTTACCTGCTTCTCCTTCACACATTGATGTTGCTACTGTACTGCCTAAAAATAAAATAGTAATAATTAGTTAAAGCATAAGTATATTTATGATGTTATACAAATTAACTATTATTGCTATTACCTGGCTGACAAATATAACCTGAATTTGATTCCCCTTGAGAAGGATCAATTAAACTCTCATGTTCATGTCCCCAAATAGTAAGCATTATATGACTTGGAATACATTTTTCAGATAAATATTTTGTACCTGGCCGATTTACACGATTTTGATGACATACGAATATATTGAACCAATCATCTACATCTTCTAATGGGCGATTCATAAATACTTTTTTATCTTTAAATAACCGTTCCAACCTTTCATCACGAACATGACTCAAACCATAGATAGCAATTTTATTTGATCCTTTTTTTAAAAGTATAGGATTTATTTTAAGCTCTTGAAGATTTGTTTGTTTTCCAAAGTAATTAATTAAGCCCATTGAGCTTAAAAGATCCATACATGACATCTCTCTATAGCCTAAAAATATTTTATTTATATATTAATAATTTTTGAATTATATAAAATGTCCAATGAAATATTTTACCACAAGGGTCATCGTGATTGCCATGAATTGAAAAAACYGGAATTGAAACATTAAGATTTTGATCTTCAAAATTTACGATGGGATGATTGCAATGTTTAAATACTTCAGCTTGGTCACAAACAAATTCCATATTTATAGGTCTATAGAATAAAAAAAGTAAAATATTATATACCTACACACTAGTCTCACTATTTAAAATCAGTGAATAATAATCGATTAGTAGTTTTTTATTAGGATCGCAATCACTTTCAGAAAGATAAGTTTATTTTAAAATTCTTTTAATATTTACTTGTCACCCAAACAATAAGAACGCAAAAGGGAAATGCATCTTTCCAAAGATGCTACTGAAGGTTGGTTGACATGAAATAGATCACCAGCCAACAAAATAAAATCAACTTCATGTTTAACTGCTAATTGTAACACTTCTTCAAATGTATTGAATGTGTCATCAGCTAGAACAATAATGCGTAAAAATTAGTAAGTATATTATATAATTTGTAGGTTTTACCTATAATTAGTTAGATAACGATCATTAAAATGTTATTTGAAATAAAATTATAGTAACAATTTTGATAAAAATATAAATGAAAATATTTTCCTAAGGAAATGTGTACTGCATAAAACTAGCAAATCTTTGTATATTATTTAATAAAAATAATAATGAAATACTTAGCCACTTAGATGTATTAATATATTGTATTATTATACTAAAATAACATGTAGCCACGTATAGTACAGGTCACATATTATAGATATAATGTAATTTTTGTTTTCACCTCGAACCAAATTTTTTTCTTCGAAACCTAAATGTATGTCTGTTGCTACAAGAATTTTGAAGTTTTCAGAATTGTCTTGAACTACTTTGGAAGACATTTTTCAATTAAAATGTGACTATGAGACTAATACTAGTGTAACACGTAGAATGAGAAAATTAATTTTAAATTCCTAAGTAGTGCTCAGTACTCAAAGTTTAAAGAGTAAGGATAAAATTAAGAATTGAAACGTTAAAAATAAGCCATTGAATTAACAATTTATTCAAAATTCTATATAAATATTAAATATATTATGAGCTAAGAGCTAATTCGTTTTAAACTTCAAATGTATGTACCGTACTGTCGGCACATTTTTCACTTATCACTCCAGATAAAGTGATAAGACAATAACGACAAGTCAACAATACTCTAAAATTGTCTACTCATACCTTATAAAGCTTATAATATTATGGTCGAAGATTATTAGCATGTTATATTTATATCATGATTATTACTTATTATTATAATATTACGCAGTTGACTCTTGATTATTCAAACCTTCGATCATTAAAATCTTTCAGTAATTCGAAGTAATTGCTTGTCCCTTTAAAAATCTCGTTACAATTTGAATAAAAACAGTGCATTTAGACACACTTGGTAATTTCGTGGTAAAATGTTAGTAAAAATTATATTTAGCCGTAAACACTTGGCAATTCGAAGTGTATCACCAATCATCAAACTATATTTCTTATGATCTTATTGTTGATAATTTACCTCAATTGTATATAATTGTATAAATGATCTTATTATTCCCAATAAATACCGAAATATTATCGAAGAGGCGATTTTTTTCTCATAACTTGGTAATCCCAATTATTTTATTGCCCTTTTAATATTTAGGAATATTAATAAATCTAGGAATATTTGACAGTTTTAATAGTAATAGTTTTAACATTATAACATTACAATTAATTTTTTTTTTTTTTAAAGTACTAAGGATTTAGAAGGTTAAAAAGGCAATGGCCAAGAGATCTGCTCAATACCTAATTAAAAAAAAAAAAAAATTATAATAAAAACCCTAATTATAAAAATAAAATAAATAAACTCAAACCCTAACTTCTTGACAGGTGGCACTGCTGGGAGCCTTCCTTTTCTGTAACTAATGTTATTTTTTTTCTTTCTAAGTCACCACACTTACTTATTATACACTGTATGTATAGATTGTAAATAAACTTTTATCGTCAATAAAAATAAAAAAAGTACCAAGGATAATATTAGCAATTGGTAATTTTAAGATTACAATAATATTCTGATATTGACATATTTACAATAGTATAACTATAATATATAGGTAACTATAAGTAACTGAAGTCGTTGAGTACTAGAGTGAAGATTTGGATGTTGAGAGGTGGCTTTGTGTAGGAGGTCGTGGGGACGACCTCGTTTTAGATATGTGATACGTGTGTTAATTAAGGAGTGGAAGTGATGAGGAATGGAAGTTAGAGCATCTAGGAGGGGGTATAGGATTAATTTTAGCTCGTTAAGGAAACTTGTAACGATTTGGAGAAGTTGATCGGATGGTGGTGTATTTGCTGTGGTTTCGGCATATGAGGGTTTTTCTTTCGGGTTTGAGAGTAGCATATCATGCCCACTTCTGAGGGGTGTAGGTGGTACAGTTTGAGTTTGAGTGTGTTGATTAACTCTTTTTGTTGTTTTAGTTTTGAATTTGATGTGGCTTAATATTTTTTTGAAGGTTTGGGCGTTTGGCAACCTTTGTAATTGGCAGTGTGGTTTCCGCTCCACATTTCACGCATCATAGTTTTCGGTGGCAATAGTTGCGTGCATGTCCATACTTTTGGCAGTGATGACATAGGRTAGGACTGGATACTCGATACTGGATAAATATTAGTTACACAGTTACACTAGTTACACTTATCAAAATCATAAACAATCGTTTATACTCTTAAATTAAATATTAATTATATAATACAGTTTTATTAATACAAGTTATTGAATTATTTATTAGTATTCATCATGCATAATATTGGGATATTATGTTCCTTAGTGTTCTTACCTAACTTACTTTAAAATTTTTTATAAAAAGGTCATTTATTCATATTCATTAAAAATTATAATCATTCATCATAATAGTATAAAAGTAGGTACCATTGTAATAATTAAGTTATTTAGTTACCTAATATACGTTTGTTCCCCATCCGAAAAAAAATGCCCAAAAATAGTGAATAGTCATGTTCGGTAAAGTAGAAAAGTTCCCTGTTTGCAATCTATTATCTACTTATTTCACTCCTACTCCTACATATTATTATTAGCTTATGACTTATGATCATACAAAATTACAAAATTACTATTATGTTTCCTATGTTTATCGTCAAGACGAGCATGGAGTAAGTTAAGTTCCAAATTTTCTATTACCACTTACTAGTCTAAACACAATGGACCAAACGGTTTTCTTGTCACAGCAGTCTGATTGTTAGAATCTTACGACGAAAATCTTGCAGTTTGAGAAGCCCTTTTTTCTATTTAGTTCTACAATACGAACCACAAAGTAATAATAAATTAAAAATGATATCGATAATAATTAATAGGTACAATTAGTTATTTGATATTGATCATCGAAATTAATAATCACAATCTTTTTATCAAAAAATGTTTAACAATAAAACAATAATAAGGTACTTAATTTATAAAAATTATTTTTCAACAGCACAATAACACACCAATACTTATTATACTTTATGTTACTATGAGTAACAAAATTTTTTTCATAATCCCATTCCCATGAGCCAATATATGCAAATCACCTGAAAAAATTTAGTTCGTAAGATATAATGACATTCCTCCTAATCGCATCACGTTGTGGTATATGACAGGATGTAGAATCAACAAAAGGCGATGTGAAGTCAATAGTTTAAAGAGATTTGTTTAGAATGCGTTTTAACTGTACCCATCAAAACTTATAGAAGCAACATATAAAACATTTTTTGATTGTGAGACTGCAAAGACTTGATTAAAAGAAAAACCTTAATAACCATTCTAATTTGTATTCGTTTAATGAATTAAATTCACGGTCCAACCCAATAGAGCTTAAATCATTAATACAAATTTAATTTTTCACATATTTTTTTATAATTACAAATTATTAAGAAATGAAAATTATATTTATAGCTTAATCGTCATATTAAAAACATTGAACTTGAAATACCTAAACTATAAAACCATTTTAGATTTTAGATTTTATAGTTTATAAATATATACTTATACTTAAAAATAACAAATTCCTTGCCATTCATTAATTTTGGAAAAATAATCCAGTGTGATTCATAAATACATATGTAACCAGTGACGTGGCGATGGGGGTAATCGTGAGGCAGCCGCCTGTCAGTTTTTTTTGGTAGGTGATGGGTGAAGCTGGGTGGATGGGAAATAATTTAAATTCATAATAACGAATTTAGGAAAATAACACATAAAATTATATTTTAATATTGATATAAACAAAAGCTAGTATCCAGTAGGCAGTGGTTACTAACCATTAGTTGGTAATAATACCTACCTAATAATTACAATTGTCTTTGAAAAGCAATCACCTCCCCCCCCAACTCTATTTCCAATTGAGAGACAAAATTATGGTTGACGAGTGAGTGGGTGGGTGGGTATCGCAAAATATATTTGCCTCTGAAAATATTCGAGTTCGCCACACCACTGTATTTAACTATATCTTAAAAAAATGTACTAAGACATAATTACTTTATTAAAATTGTATATAAATTTAAATAAGTTATAAAATATACTTATTTAATAAGTATAAATTACAAAGCAATAAAGAAAAGTTCATTGTAAATTACTTAATATGCATATGTGTATACCTTTAAATTCTGAACATAAGCCATTAATGATTTCAAAGACATTAATAATATTAATAATTTGTGGTATAAATGTTTTCACTATACAATAGTATTGTATGTGGTACTATTTGTATATTATAGTATATAMATGGTGAATAAATATTATATAATTATAGTCTTATACATAAAATTGCAATATAAATTGTATATTATAAATTAATAATTATAACCCCGATAAATAACATAAAAATACCATTAGTACCTTAAGCATAATAAAACAACATTTAGAAAGAAATAATGGCATAAATTTCAAGATGTTGTGGAACAATTTATTTTTAGAAATTATCAAATAATTAATTTAATGTTTTTCTTTAACTAGATATATTTAAACTATCATCATTTCCTTTAGAAATAATAAATAATAGTATGAAAACAAGAAAATGACTGATACTTGATAATTGAACTAAAAAACAATTCTTAATGCTAATCTAAAATAATAATAATGAATCAAAATTTAATTTGTTTCATTCCCTCATCCCATTCCAATTGTCAAGAAACTGATTTATTAATCATCAGCCTTTTTCCCATGTCATGTCCAGATGTTCTTTCCACGCAGTTAGAAAATTCTGTATTGAGCCAGTCTAATGACAAATTATCCAAATGATTGTCAAAGTCTACCAAATTATTATACAATTGTTGTTGTAATACAGCTGATGCAGCTGCTAATGTTACATTTTCTATTTGTACGCTAAATGAAAATAATAAAATAAATTATTGTTTATTTAATATTATTTTACTATTCAGTATTCAATGAATACTATTCATACTTAGAATTATTCAGGCGTTTCCATTTTCCATCATCTTGTGTGTGCACTAACAGTGCACTTTCTTTTTGATTTAACTCCATTAATCGATTATTGATCTAAAAAAATGTAATTTTGAAATATTAGTCATTTAAATCAGAAATATAAAGAAAAAAATATATATTACTAACCACAACCATGCAGACATCTGCTTCATGTTCAACAATCTTATCTATAATCTTATGGGCTGGTCTATCATAACTACAAACATTTGAATTATCATAATAAATGTAGGTATTTAAAAATATATATGTATAATAGATTGCTTAGGCAATTCAAATTCAAGATGATTAATTTAGAACAACTACGAAATTATGCATCTGCTTTTGTTTCACAAAACAATATCAGACAATAGACATTGGGAATGAGAAAATGACGATTGATGAATCAACAAAACGCATCACATCGCCAACTGGTTTTTTTTAAATCACAGCAACCACAGACGAGTTAATTGATAAAGTATTTTCAAATATAGAATAAAATTACAGAAATCATCAGTGGCTCAGTTTACAGGTTATATTAGCAGCCTAAAACAACAATGTAATTAAAATCAATATCAGACATCAGTATCAAAAACAGCAGTTCAGGCGACACGAAAATGTAAAAGTCTATTGAGACTGATATGAATCAAGACGAAGTTATCAATTACCTAACTGAATTCATGAACTCACTTGATTTGCCAGGCATGCCATCCTATGATCTAACATTGAAAATCGGTGTGATCATCATTCTTCAACTAAACATCAATCCACAACTACTTAACAAATGCACAAAGCTTTCGGTAAAAAAGTTGATGCACAACATTATCAAAAAAAAACAATTTTACATGAAAATTTTAAAAGCGAAGAAGTACTGTTGTCACGTATCCCAATGATTACAACAGATATGCCATTTGAATTCATACGTTTTTTTTTTAAATACAACAAAACACAAGGGATCAGACAGTAATTTATAAACTTAAATGAAAAATTTGCATTATAACAAAACCTAGACACTTAGATACTGCAACAATTTTCTGGGATAAAACTTATCTAAAGTACCTACCTAAATTAAATTAGTTTACATAAAAACAATTTATCTACATAGTTAATTACAGGTACAGTACCTAACCTAAATATAAATATTTATTGAGAGTAAAAAATTTTTTTATTTAGGTAATTTTGCAATAACAATGTGTTAAAATAGATACCTAGTAGGTACTACTATTTTTGCCCAAGCTACTAACACAAATTCAGTTTCATTCTTGTTCCTAGTAGTTAAGCTACTAATGATCACCTAATTAATGATAATATATATTTCAATTATTTAATTAAATACATTAGGATTAACATGATAGGTACATAGTATATACAGTAAATAGTATATTTTGATAAATTTTATATTTACACACAATTAATAACACAATATTAAACATTTTCTAAGAAAAAATTTGAATATGCCAATACGAGTTGGGTAAATTTTGAATATTCAAGAAGTTAAAAATGAAATATATAAGAACCCTGTCGATGTCTATCAAACTTTTATCTTGAAATTCATGAATAATTATGCAATACAAATATTAAAAGGTTAATCAAATTTTAATCTACATCTAGGTGTAATAGATACCTTAAGTCATCCAGCGTTTCATTAGCTAGATAATAGCCAGCGATGTACATATTGCATGTACTAGCTGATTGATCGATTTGCATCAAGGCGATCTCTGACATCGGTGACACATGGAGACACTGATGGAACAATGGAAMAGTGTCCACTATAACCAACTTATCGCCCTTTGAAGAGTTCTCAGCGACCAGTAATCCATTTACTTCACAGTGAGGATATTTGGCGGCATGTGCGACCATTTTACAATACGCCAACGTCGAAAAAGACACTTTCGACATTATTAATAGAAGGTAGGGGGAATGAATTTTTGAAAGGAAATATAAAACAGGATTGACTCCAATTCAGGTAAAATATGTTTAGTCACTACTTAGAGACACTTATTCGAGTTACTTATAAATTGCTAGTAGGCACTAGGCAGTTGCTATAGAATTAACCAAAAAACATCAGTAAATTTTACCATAAAAAATAGTTATTAGTTAATAGTTTAATACCTCTTGTCATTGATTATRGACAAATCATTGATAGCTCATGATTAACCATAGCTAACTATATATTGTTCTGTTACCATAGATAACAAATACTTGTATTATCTAATATCTATGTCAGCAACTTTGCTGATTCTAGTATTAACACGCAGCCATGGAATAAACAGTAATAACTTGATTCTCAGATCATTGTGTATATATTATTTAGTATAATCGTATATTATATATTTATATAGTATAATTTATTGTCTGTGGTATAAATGTATAATATAGCGCCTGCTAATAATTTAAAAAAATGAAAGGATTTTAGTATCCATTTTTCATTATAAATATTATGTCCATGTCCGTATACCTATTACCTAAACCTAATTATAATAATTAATAACCATCAAGTGTTTAATCGATAAGAAGACAAAATAACAATAAGTATACAATTAAAATATATAATTTTTATTTATCATTATATTATTATAATATTTATAACATTAATATTGGATAAAATATTTATCGGTTGTTTTGAAATGTCTGTGCTTTCCAACTTTGTCCTGGTAGGAAAATTTAATTTTTGATGTCAAACTAGCACCCTGCGTCCCTGCTTCGACAGTAGTAGGGCGGAATAAAAATGGTTGGAATGATACTCAGATATTAAAATATTACAATCATTGTTAACTTAACTTTAAATTGGTCTCTAAACTAGTCTGGCCGAAACGAGAATCATATAAAAACAAAATCTGGTCCCGCTCAGAGCTTCATACAGTGTACACAAAACTCAAACTAACATTTACAATATTCGCGTTAGCGATACTAAAATCTAATCAGTTGTCCACGAAAAATTAAGCACTATCCCCCACATGACAAAATCATTTGACCTTCACTGGCTTCACTGCTTACAGATATAGCATACTATAACGAGAGCGGAGAGACACAAATTGTGGTAACTCTGCGGGCTCTACTACAGACAAAAGTACAAAACCATCTTATACCTTATTTATTTTTTTTATCTGTTGGTTTATTTACTAGCATAACTTATCCGCTAATTTTGCCTCCAGATTTAAATCTATTATACCGAATATTACCAATAATATTTGCCATTTGGTTCAATAAGGTACGGCTGCCTAGATCTTCTATTATACAATTTAATCGTTTACGTATAGGGCATCACTTAATACCCTCACACGCTTATAAATTAAATTTAAATGATTCCCCTTTTTGCACTCTGCAATATGGATGAACGATGAACATATTTGCGATTTGTCCCATATTTTCTTCAATTGTTCCTCTCTTTTCATTAAGCGTCTGAGCCTAATTACTTCTCTCAATTTCTTGAATGTTCCTTTCAATCTCCACTCCATTTTAAACTCCAACTCTGAACAACTCATTATTATTATTATTTCTTTTATTCAAGAGGCTGGCTTTATTATCTGAGTCTTTTTGTCTATATAATTTATTATATCTTTAGCTATATTTATAACTTAATTTTACTATTATTCTATTGTTTTGTTTTTTTTTCTTATTATTATATTGATTGTTAATTCTATAACGTATTGTAATTGTTGAGCTAGATTTAAAATAACAAGCTAAAAAAATAAAAATAAAATACCTTATAGGTATACTTAAGTTATTAAGTTCCTCTTTCTATGATATATAACATTTCTATATTTAAGCTATAGTGTTAGGAGTATTAGTAGGTTTATTAACCGGCAGGATTAGGGTTAACCTATAATAAAATCGGAGTATAATAATCTCATATTATTAATTCTATAATATGTTAACGATTTAACTGAACTACTTAGTCATTTAGTTCATTTTTTTATTATTATTAAAATCTATGAGGTACCAAACATCGATTTAAAATTACCTAAATATCATAATTTAAATAATAAATATTATTTTATAAAAATTGATTTATATTATTTGGATTAATTTAAGCTCTCCCAACAATTCATTGGGGTAAACGACAGTCTCATCACAGTAGACATCTCGTGGATGAAATTTAGTCCTCCTCTCGAACCGGTCTGCTGTTCTAGAAATCGCGTTCTAATAATTCCTCTGTTCATATTGGCCATCGCCCATCATCTCCCTCGCCCTTTCCGATTTTCCATTTCCTCTCTATGACTGCCCTGTAGAAGATCCTATTTGATGCTCATTGCTCATATACCTCATACTTATACTTACAAAATACAAATTATAATCATTATATAAATATATGATTTCAATTGTAATTTGTATTTATCAGCTGACGAGAACGCGTTTGGGGTAGCTTCTAATCATAAGGCTGACCAGCGATATTTCATATTGGAATGGACGTACACGGCGGTTTTCTACGCGTTTTCGTGTATCGTATTTTACCGCCTAATCTACGCAGAAAGTATATTGGAACCGTGCCTGGATGACCTGACCTTAGACAATATCAACTATGTGCTGATGACATTGCTGTCTGTCCTCATTGTTTTGTTGAATCCGTTATTAGCGAGCAGAGCACGTGAGAACCGAGAAGAATATTTCAAACTATGGCGTGAATATCAGGTTTATTTATTATGATTAATAAATTATAACATACCTATTATATGTATATCATAATTTTTGTGCTATTATTATAATAATCATTATATACGCCATAAATAATGATTCATGACAATAGATCTGTATGTGCAGATCTTCCTACCAACGGGAAAACTATGACCACATTATTCAATCGCCAAATAAAAATTACAACCAATTATGAAATCAAGACAACATCTAATCCTCATTTTTATTTAATAAATTCAGTATGTTTTTAAATATTATATATCTAATCTATATACACTATTATACAGGCAAATATTTTCTATTTACACTTGTTTATTTTAACTTAAAATATCATATCCTTCATTGGATTATCAAGTATTGTAGGAAATACTTAAGGGAGGAGGGACTTCTATATGCCTTATTCCCAGTTATAGACAATTTCACAGAGTAAGACTATAAAAAAAACTTAGGTTATGTTATTTGAACAATATTACGTAATCAAACTTTAAAACGTGAAGTAATATATATCAAGATCCAGGAATTAAAGCCTTTCCGTCAAGAATTTCAACTGGACCCTTTTAGTTAATAACATCAATCATTGAAAAATATAATAAAAATGTTATGTTATATACTTATTGTAAATGTAAAATATCTATGTTTGTTCACATTCACAAAAAACAATAGAACATATTACATAGGTAAGTATACTAAATCAGTGTTTCTCAACCTGGGGGTCGCGACCCCTTTGGGGGGTCGCCAACTTATTATTTAGGGTCGCAATCGAATGATTTAAATCAATGTGAAAATTAAAAGCTCAAATAATAAAAAAATAAAATCAATAAAATATTATTATATTACATACCTATTACGAGTATAGATTATTTATATTAAAATGGAAAACACACTATTATCATTTTTAAAGCGATATTACTCTATGACGTCTATTAAAGAATCTATAATAAACGTTGAATATAGATTATTAAGTATCAACCTAAGATAAGGCCACCGCCGCGGCCGCAGTGCACACTGCACATATTATATTATTATATATATTTATGTCACAGTTCATCATTTACATCGCCGTGCCGTGCGCCGTTGTAAAATATAAGTTAATAAGTTGCATTTTTATATTGTTTTTCACATTTTTATACACTTTATCTTTATTTGACTTTATGTATTATTATAAAATATTTCTAATATGAGTAAACAGTTGCAAATGACAAACTTTTTCAAACAACCGCACAATACATCGACTTCTGATAATCAAAACTCAAATATTACAAAAAAACATAATTTGGATAATACTCATGAGAATTAGCTTGATGAAGTCAATTAAACCAAGAATTGACGAAATAATATCACATCAACAGCAACAACCAAGCCATTAAAAATCTTAATATAAAAATATATTTATATAATAAAATGAAATATTTAAAGTACGTTTTTTTTAATTTTAAATAAATATTATATTATAATATGTATCTTTTATATTTCTCGTGTACAGTACTTGTAGTAACTATAGACTYTAGAKTATTTATAATGATAATCTAAGCGAGTATGTAAAAATATATATGTAGGGGTCGCTAAAAAATTTAAATTTAAAAAAGGGGTCGCCACAGTAAAAAGGTTGAGAAACACTGCAGTGTAAAGGATACAAGGGAAAGTAACATGATTATGACCAGTATAGCCGAACCTTATGTTTAGGTTAGATTTTGAAAATTTAAGATAGGGCCGCTTCATATTGACCACTTTCCTCTCCACGGTATTCCATTTTTACCGATATTAAGATATTAGGCATCTTGAAATGTTTTTCGCCCTAATACTATAGATTTATAGGACTTCGGAGCCATAACTTATTGCTAGTTTATTTTTTTTTATTAAATTAGGATGAACTTTGAATAATAATWTTTTTTCATCGATACATAATTTTTCAATATTTGAATAAACTTCAAATTGTATTCAAAGTCTCAAAGGCCATTGTTTTTAATGTCATTTTTWAAAAAAAATATAGCGTAAATTAAGAATATATTTTTATGAGTAAGTTAGGATTTTGAAAAAAATTGACATTATCACGAAAATGTTCAACTTAATTTGAGTTAGAAATAAAATATTTCTCTTTATATCTAAAATTTTAATTTTTAATATTAGATACTTTAAAAGCCCATATAAATATATATATATATTATCTACTTTAAACCAAACAATATTTGAATGTTTTGAAAATTGACACGTACAATATGTATTTTCGAAAATTCTATATGATTTTTAAATCATTACATTTAATTTTCATTATCTATACATACGGCTATTATCAAAGTTTTTTTATTATGGTAGGTWCTTAAAAATAAAGTTTGTTTTTATAAGAACACTTCACTAGAAAAGGATTTGTATAAATGTATACTTGTCTAATGTCTAGGATTTCGGTGGCATGTTCTTCGTTAATTAATTTTTAATGCTAACTTAGTGGCCAAATTTGAACATGTAAAAATTATCAATTTCTAAATGTACGCAAGGACAA